AAATTGAACAAGATTTGGTAACTGTAATTACAGAATAAACAAGCTCTGGTAACTGTAATTACAGAATAAACAAGCTCTGGTAACTATAATTACAGAATAAACAAAATGTTTTAACTGTAATTACAGAATAAATGGAATGTTTTTGTTCTTTTAAATAGGGTCTTCTAATAAGCTGTAACATGTTGTGTGCAGACTATTTGTTCCAACAAGACAAGCACTATGACGTAACTTACGACACAGGAGACAAGGTTATACAATGTGGTCGGCATAACGACATTTTCAAGCTCTGGCTGATGTGGCAGTCAAAGGTAGCGTAATATTACCACCCGTTCATGTAACCCTAGCCCACGGTAAGTAACCTCAGGGCCGTAGTATTTATTACCAAATATTTTGAAACTAAACTTTTTTAATAGTAGTGTACAAGAGTTATTGACCTTCTGACTAATCTCAATAAACACTGCACGCTTTAATCTTTAAGTTTGAATTTAGATCTTTCACTGCCATGTCATATCCATCTTCATTTCTAGAATACTACCATTTGACTCGGGAATTTTGTAACACCACGAAGGAAGGGCATGACCCTTCAAACTTACCAAAATTTGCTAATTTAAAGATTGAGATAAGTAACGAAATATTAAAACATTGGCTTTTTTTATTATTACTCTAAGTACAAACCAGGCAGTGGTGGAGTTGTTTAGCTGTAAACCAGACAGTGAAAGAGTTAAACTAAACTAGCCTTATAAATTAGTAACAGTGAAAGAGTTAAACTAAACTAGCCCTATAAATTATTAACAGTGAAAGAGTTAAACTAAACTAGCCTTATAAATTATTAACCTAAAATTGTACAATGTACTTCTTCAAAAGTAGGTTCTAATACTTAGGTTTGGAGATACCACCCATGGATTTAGTAACTTGTAGCAAGAACATTATTACTTTGTGTGATAGAAAGACTGGCGTTTACATCTTCGTGTTTATGAAATTTTACTTATACGAAGATGTTATAATAATATCTGCTGAGAAGCATACATTAACATAAATACAATAGAGAAACTTTAATTTCTTATCGTTGAAGCATCTGGGTCTACTCCCTGTACTAAGTCTCATTTTTAAAATGAATATAGTAAAACTAAGTAAAGAAGACTAGATACGTGACTTTTACCAGTCCTAAATTAGCATCTTAGCAATGTTTAAAACGTGAAACAGTTTCATAGAATTTACGTAGTTTTTTTGTTTGTTTGTTTTTATTACAGTTAGGGAATTACGTATCAGAATGATCCACAAATGCAAATAAAAAAGTGTTATACGTTATAAACAAATATACTGATGTAGGAATATTAATGACAGCAAAGTCTACACCTACCTGGTACCTGATGATGACGTTGTACTTTTCTAATAGAGTTTCCTTCACTACCCACTCAAGCCGTCTCCAAACTTTATATACTACACCTACTTAGCAGATCACCTGTTTCCTCATCTTACTACAAGTACTTTGCAGACCGTGTTTTTTACTTATCATACTACACATACCTTACAGATCATTTGTTTCCTTATCATACTGGGCCCGGCATGGGCAGGTGGTTAGGTCACTCGACTCACAATCTGAGGATCGTGAGTTCGAATGCTCGCCCTTTCAGCTGTGGGGCGTTATAATGTGCAGTCAATCCCACTATTCGTTGGTAAAAGAATAGCCCAACAGTTGGCGATGGGTGGTGATGATTAGCTGCATTCCCTCTAGTCTTTCACTGTTAAATTATGGACGGCTAGTGCAGATAGCCCTCATGTAGCTTTGCGTGAGATTCAAAACAAACTAATATTCTCATACCATTCCTACTTTGCATATTGTATGTTATATTACTTATCCTTGTGCTAGATTTAAACTCTTATTTCTGAACAATAATGATACGAAACAAAAACGACGCTGTTTTTTCTTGCTGATAAGCTTGATAATTTTAAGGCAATTAACTTGTATTATCTTATATCAATAAAGTATCCTTACGCTGGTTTTTGTTGTTTAACAATAGAATTGTAACTACCTGAAAATTCATATTTGCATTACAAAGAAGATATAAAATTTGAAAACATTGAGTGTTTTTTAATACGGTTATTTTATGCTAAATAATATTCTATGAATAAAATATAAAACATTTAAGAGTCATGGATTATGTTTACTAGTATTTCCTAATAAAACACTTCTAGTAAAATGGTAAAAAGTAATTTTAAAAAGATCTGTGGGGGGACAAATAAACAATGAATTTGTTTTTACATTTTTAAGGTGTAATGTGTTAAAACATTACAGGCAACGTGTGAAAGAAGTTTAGGATCGTTCTGATGATATTTTGTATGTCTCCATACCTTTTTAAACATTTACGTCTGTTTATTCGCTATTTATATTGTACATTTCTGTAATAGTAGAATACAGGTGTTTTGAACTATATTTATGCGTCTGTGTAATTTCAACAAGTTGTTTTTTGGAATAATTATTAAATACATGTGAGTAGTTACTTACTGGGCCATGTCAAACAAATGGTCAATATGCTTTTCGTATCCTTTCGTGCCCTATAAAGAAGATAATATAATAATAGCTTAAATTATTAATTGTTGTTGTTAATCTTTAAAAATTCAGCATGCATTTTTTGGAATATTATATTACTCAAAAATGACATGGCAGCTGAGCCTTAAACTTAAACAAGAAAATAAAAAGAATAAAATCAGTAAAAAATTGGGTATATACATAACGATTTTCTCATTCCCTGGTTTAAAAATTAAACGATATTATACGACCAATAAATTGATATTTGATCGTTTCTAATCATTTACTGCCGTACATAGAAATAAATATTTAGATATCAATTAAACACTATTGTTTTGATCACATGTACAAGTTTTGTTGTAGAACATAATGTACATATGCATAATATTCACTAGAATGTTTAAGACAGGCGTGGTTTAGTGATTAGCGTACAGGGCTGTGGATCGTATGGTCTATGGTTCGAGGTGTGAGGTCACTGAACATAACCCGCACTTTTAGCTGTGGGATCGTTATAACAGATAATCCCGTTTTGGGGTTCCAGGATGTCGGTCACTCTTGACTGGCTACCCTTCCCTGAGTCAATAGTTCAAAATTAGGGACTGCTATACCTAAACCCTAGGGATCTCTTTTATGACCGTTCAGCCCATGTGCGTATAAAGAATTAAATATTTTTAAAATTATACACAGATGATCTTTTTATTGGTCAGCAGATGTATATCCTATCTCGTGCATATTCTGTTATATATATGTGTGTGTTTTTTGTGGACTATTTGTTCACTCGTAAAACCTTTATAGGTATGTTTAATCTAACTATTAAATTGTCAGTGAAGCTCAAGTTTAAACTAAACTTCCTTGCACCAGAGTCTTGTTATTCTTTTCATGGACCAACGGAATTGTTTAATAATTTTAACGATAATTGATATCACTAATTACTTAATGATTTATGCTACTACCTATGGCAACAGGAGTTTTACAAATCAAAGTCATAATCTAGGCCAATTGTCGTGTAGATATAAAGATGACTTAAATTGACAAGAATCTTTTGTAATTCTAACCACACCCTAAATCAACAATAGTTTTGTTAATTATTCCAGTAATTATACGTTTAACATAAAACTAACATATTTTTTTTTAGTTATATGGTGAAAAAAATAAAGGAAAGAGGCGATAGGTTTTACATGGTGTTGGAAGAGGTGAGTTTCTTTAGCGCTTTTCTTATCATTCTGTCCATTTGTTTCTTTAACATAGATTTTTTTTGTTGTCGTTAAACAAGAGACGCTAGCAGTCTCAACTTTCTTTCTTTTTTTTTTTTTTTTGTATTGGACAAAACCAAACTCTTTTTTTTTAAGATCTTGTTTGCAATAATAAATCTTAAATTTTGGTTCACTAAAAATTTTCTTTTGTTCGCCCATTTTTTCACATTTTCATTTTATATTTTTTTCTTTTCATCATTAAAAATATTTTGTATTGAGAGTCTTGTTTTCAAGACCTAGATGCATGTCATTGCTTATATATTTTTTTCGATGTATTAACGTATGATTTTACACAATGTTCCTGGTTTATACTTTTTTCGTACATGCTAGCTTCCACTGTCTTTAGTTGTGCTTTCACATTTGATTAACTTAAATTGGTTCAAATCTGTATATATGTATTTTTAATTTACATTAATCCGCATGTTGACTGTTTTATAATATGCTCTATTATTGTTTGCATATGTGCCATTCGCTGCAATTATCTATATATTATTATATCGTTCTATGTATTTTATGATACCATAGTTCTGTATTTCCACCACTCATTGTATTTTAACCAACCTTTTTCTCTATATCTTCATTATTCTATGTGTTCTAGCCAACCTTATATCCATATTTATAGTATTACATGTTTAAGCTATCTTTCTCTGTATACCTGCACTATTCCGTACGTTCTAATTTTCCCTCTCTCTTATGCCTACATTATTATTTATGTTTTAATCTACCTCTTCTCTACTATTCTATGTATTCTAATCTACCTGATCTTTTTACTTGCACTATTCTATGTATTCTAGTCTATCCGATCTCTATACTTGCACTATTCTATGTATTCTAATGTACCTGATCTTTTTACTTGCGCTATTCTATGTATTCTAGTCTACCCCATCTCTATACTTGCGCTATTCTAAATATTCTAATCTACCTTATCTCTATACTTGAACTATTTTATGTATTCTAATCTACCTGATCACTATCCTTCCATTATTGTATGTATTCTAGCCTACCTGATCTCTATACTTGCACTATTCTATATATATTCTAATCTATCTGATCTCTCCATCCACACTATACTTTGTATTCTTATTTACCTTTCCTCTATATTTGCTCTGTTCTATATATTCTAATCTACCTGATCTCAATTCTTGCACTATTTTTTGTATTCTAATCTACTTGATCTCTCCATCTACATTATAATTTGTATTCTTATTTACCTTTTCTCTATATTTGCTCTGTTCTATATATTCTAGTCTACCTTCTCTCTACATCTACACTATTCTATGTATTCTAGTATACCTTCTCTCTACATCTACACTATTCTATGTATTCTAGTCAACCTTCTATCTACATCTACACTATAATTTGTATACTAGTCTACCTTCTCTTTACATCTACACTATTCTATGTATTCAAGTCTACCTTCTCTCTACATCTACACTATAATTTCTATACTAGTCTACCTTCTCTCTACATCTACACTATTCTATGTATTCAAGTCTACCTTCTATCTACATCTACACTATAATTTGTATACTAG